TCGTTATGGATACGCAGATCATCAGCAATTATTGTAAAATGTGTCCTAGTGGTCCAAAACCAGGCTCATCTTAGTTTGTAAACTGGGTGGAAAGGCATAAATCTGAATGTCAAAAGAATGCAGATTGTTCTTCGAATGCCATAGAGATGATGACGGCAAGGATGACATTTTCAAGATCGCCAAACATTTTTCTTGCAAGTTGGCAGCATCATCTACCCGGTTGTTAAAAGGTAGACAGATCCAGATCTTCTACACCCTTGTGCTAAAATGAGCACTCAGAATGCCAATGAAAGCTGTAACCCATTGATTTGGCAGCGCTGTCCTAAAACAACTTTGCTTCGATGTCAGCAGTGGAGACAGCAACTGCCCTTACCACTCTGTCTTTCAACTGTGGTCCTATATGAATTATAATAGTATTAGACTAAATGGGACTGGAATGGGGACTTACAAACAACACGTATGCTACAAGAAAGCTTAAAAGAAAGTATTGTGATTCGAGAAAACAAACTTTAGGTCTTTCGAAGTGGAAGAGGAAAAAACTAGAAAAAAAACAAAAAAAAAAAAACCGGCGACTCGAGCTAGAACACCAGCATGAAGTAACAGAAGGCAAAACCTATGTTGCTGGTGGATTTAATTGTTAAATTTATGTGACATTTTCTGTGGAAAGGATGCAGAACCCTTTCTTTCTTTATTAATTATATTTTATGTGACTTTTAAAGTTTAAAAGTCCATTTTCTCTTAATTCTATTTTTGTGTTTGTTGTGTGTGTGTGTAGAATCTTAAAACCTCAACTAATTTAAAGACTAGAGACATAAAACTTGGTATGGTTACTCCTTACAGAATATTATAACCTCTGGTGTATTTAAAAATTAATTTTAGGAAGTTTTTATTTTTTTAATTTGATTATTGTCCTATGATGCTACTTTTTTTCACCTTTTCAAAAAACCTAAATTTTAAAATTCTATGTAAAATATTTAGAAACATCTTTAAAGTAAATAAACTACACCATTGCCTCAATCTTTTGTTAAGGTTCATGAACCATCATCTATTTTTCAATACCTATAATTATTTTTGCAATTTTATAACTCTATGTACATTCTGTTTTTTCCTCAAGATGGCGGCAACCATGATTTTTTAAAAACCTAAAGTGTTCAAGCATACATACCTACAAACTACTGTTATTAATTGGTTTAACATTGTAAATTTTAAAAAATAATTTTGTGGAGTGACCCCTTACAGTTCCGCATACAATGTACCGAATCAGCTATGCTTGCAAGAAAACGAGCGTAAACGTGCACTGAAGCAACTGGGCGAAGTTGCAGAAAGAGATTTGGCTGTGGACGCAACGGAACGACTAAGGGGATAGGTTTCGGTAGACTGGTCCCTAGTGGAAAATAACTTTTTAATTCAGTAAGCCAAATATTGTACTTTAATGTCTGCCTTTGCTACTGCCAGCTGCTAAGATCTGTCCAATAAGTCTGATGAACTAACCGAACCGTCCATTTGTCACTGTGGTCCTGTAGGTTGGCTGGTAATTTGTTACCGCACCGACGATATCACCATATCCTCAGTGGTTATTGCAATTACCATAAGGTCTTGTCCGATAAGGGAGTCGCCGTGGCGAAGCGATTAGACGCTCGCCGCTGATCGGAAAGTCGTGGGTTCGCTTCCTTGAGAAGCCGGACTTTTTCAAAAATGACCTTGGCTCCCAGGTTGACCCAGCCTTTAGTGGGAACAGGGTGCAGTTCCGGAAAGTAAAGGGGTCCGGTGTGATGATGAGCACATCACCCATCTTGTGCCGATTGGTCTATTAAATATAGATCTAGCCCTATATGCCCCATACGCCTAAAGGGGTGGGAAAAAGTCCTTTACTGACTTTACTTGTCCGATTAGGGCAGTGGGAGACACCGAGCCCCGGAAGTCATCACCCGGGTCGGCCCAGGCCCTGAGATTGTTTAGGGAGGTAAACGGGTTGAAACAATTGTTGAAAGGGGGCATCCACCGAAGATCGGTAGACTCCTGTTGTACATGCACCCGTCGTGAAGTAAATATTTTCATTATCGCACCTGGTCTACCATAGGGTTCGATCATCTCACATGTACCCTACAATGTCTATACAAGTAAAATAGCTGTCATTGAGACACCTGAAATTAGACGGGTGCTTAAAAAACAGCCTTATTATGGCGGTGCTCTTTGAACAATGGATAGATCATAGAAGATGTTTCCACGATCATAATAAATGGAAAAATGGCCAGAATGGGAAATACGCTAAAATATTTGGGAATTACGTTCACCTGAGGAATGATTTACATGGAATACATCAATGCTGTAATACTAACAGCAAGTGAGAGGAAGAGCATAGTGCGCTGAAGGTTATGGCTGCTGCGGGCCTAGAACAAGGTGATGCCACACTCAAGCAGTGCCTTGTTAAGTCAGTTGTTGCCTGTGGTCTGGGGATAATTACAGTTATCAAATTCGCAGTTGTAGAAATTGGAACGTATTCAGAACGAGTCTATGTGAACCATTCTGGAATGCGCAAGGGACACACCAGTTGAGTGTTTCAGACATATCCTGACTGTGCCGAACATTGCTGAATGACACAGTATACTGTAAACTGGGTACTATCTTAGAGTTACAAGTTATACAGAACATAAGCTTCATAGGGAACTGGATACTGTAATAGGTGACAGATGTAAGATGAGCAGATCCTGTATGGTCCAAGCTGAAAAGGCAATTAAAATCTTTGCAGCATTACAGAGATTGGCCACCGAAAAGAGTCGGTAAAGAATCCGGATGGTAGAAAAGAGCTGCACAAAGTGGTAATTACCATGGGAAGGGAATGCAGTGAATGGACAGCCAGAAGTGCAGACACTGTGGTTCAACAATTGATCGAGGACAACTCTGGGCCGTGAGATATACACCAAAGGGTAAATGTCTAGGGACAGAAAGAGTGAATGGGACTTCATTGCAAAGACATGGATGAAATGGATGACTGAAGATAGCTTAGCATAGGAATTACCACTTACAGCATGATAACGGAGGTCAAGGCAATAATTGTCGCGTTCCAAAGGGTGGATACAATCCAGGCCACACATTTGATCATAGTATGGCAGTATTAAAGCGTGCGCAGCAAATTGACGACAGGTTTTCTTGGAATGGAATGGGTTGTTGCAATCCAGAATTCTAAGGTGGCACGCGTCACATAGATTTTTTGAATAGGACATTCTTGCGTATTTTGGGAGTGAGCAGGCTGATACGTTAGATGGGCTGGTCCCACTTGAGGGTGTACTGCAAGTGCGCAAGGCAGGTTGATTTCTCGCCTGTGGGGCGAGATAACCAAAGAAAAGAAAAAATAGAAGATTTTGAAAACCTGCAACTGTAGGGAATATTGCAGCAGGAAGTGTCTATGAGCTCTGGGTGCCATTCGAAACTAGGGGAAAGGCAAGACGAGTAGTTAACTAGACAATAACAGGTGTCATCAGTATAAAGGATCTTCGATGGCTGTTGAGTATGGAGCTAATATGGACTGTCCTGAATACTGTGATGTCTTCCTATAACCATGAGAACGCAGACTGACAATTTGATATAGTTTTTGTGTACTCAAATATTTTATGTGGATGGCTCCTCTTTAGCGAGTAATGGTAAAATACTGTAGATGGATTTTGCAAAGATAATTAGTTAAACTCGTGTGCCCATTAAATTATATGTTAAATTATACGAACAATTACAATTGTTGATGAAAAATATTATTGTAGAACTGTTGTGAAATACATCTCACAGTACATGAAGTTTGTAATCTTTCAGTTCACTGTTACTGTATGCAAGGGAACTGATAAATAACCTATGTTAAAACAAGTGTTAGTTTACTTTAAAAAAATGTATATGTTTAGTGGCATACCAAGCAATTTGAAACAGAATATATACACTTCTCCTACCTACATGGCAGGAAGTGGTATAATAAAGGCAGTAACTGGAAGTTTTGGCTGTGCCAGTTAAAATCACATCGAATGCCATACACTATCAATATGAAATCTAGCAAACAAAGAAATAAATCCTGGCAAAATCCAGAAGCACACACACGCGAAATAAATGTAAAAGGCAGTAGCTACAGGTGCCAACACAAACTGGTCCCACCAGAACTGCGGCTTGTCGTTGATAACATTAGTTAATTAGGATAACATGTTTAACTAAGCCGAAGTACATGTACGGGGGTTACCTTTAAAAAGTCAGCTAACAGGCATTGCAAATTGTAAAACGATGCCATTTAGGTGAGTGAGTATAGTGCCACAAGGGCTGACGATGACCAAGTGCAGTTTAAGTTCCCTCCCTCTACTATGCCTTCCGAGCAAATATACGGGACTTAAGTAAGATTGGATTGCTCAGTTACTCTTTAACATGACTTTCTTTCCACTGATGAACTGTCCATAATGGACAGTTACAGAAGATGTGTGTGTGGTTAAGAAACCTACCCACTTTGAAGTTTGTCCTGAGAGCGTAGGCGACGTTTTTACGCAAGAAATCAATTTCTTCTTCTTCTTCTTCTTCTTTTTCTTCTCTTCTTCTTCTTTTTCTTCTTCTTCTTCTTCTTCTTCTTCTTCTTCTTCTTCTTCTTCTTCTTCTTCTTCTTCTTCTTCTTCTTCTTCTTCTTCTTCTTCTTCTTCTTCTCCTCCTCCTCCTCCTCCTCATCCTCCTTCTTCTTCCTCTTCTTCTTCTTCTTCTTCTGCTTCTTCGTCTTCTTCTTCTTCTTCTTCTTCTTCTTCTTCTTCTTCTTCTTCTTCTTCTTCTTCTTCTTCTTCTTCTTCTTCTTCTTCTTCTTCTTCTTCTTCTTCTTCTTCTTCTTCTTCTTCTTCTTTTTCTTCTTCTTCTTCTTTTGCTCCCCGCTTATTTACATCTAACAACAAACGAATAAGTATTTTTTTTTTTTAAAGTAACACAAAACATACAATACACCTAATATCACAGGCTGGCCGCCAACAAGAAAGCTAAACAGTGTGTTGTTTTCAAACAGCAGCAGAAGTGACAACAACAAAATAAGAGCTGCAAATACACATAATGTACTCACCGTTAAAGATGTTGTACATGAGAGTGATGGGCAAACAGAATATCGCCATTAGCATGTCAGCAACTGCCATATTGACAAGCAGGAAATTAGTTGCTGTGTGTAGGCTTTTGTCCTTAGCAACAACAAGTACGACGCTCAAGTTGCCCATCAACGCTAAGAAGAAGACGATGCTATATGACACAGTAAGCACAACCAGCATGACCACTGGCTGTTTGATGAGACCATAGTAACGGACTGTGGTGTTGCTGCTCATGTTGTTGGGTACTAACATGCTGAGAGAGCTGATGTTGTGTAGGCTGACATTAAAGTCCATATCATCATAGTCATTGCTGGCTCCACAGTTAGGGCTAATTTTGGTGGACAAGTTTATATTGGAGGTGTTGACTTTTTCATAAGCCATTACATTTTCTGTTATATTGAGTTCCATTATACTTCTGGAAACAGTGTTGATTAATGTAAAATCCTCGCTTTCAGTTGTTTAGCATACTGTAGACTCATCAGACCTGTATATAGTTGGTGTACGTGCTCAACACTGTTGTGTGTCTCTTTTACTTATATGGCCAAAAGAATCTGTACGGAAAATAAATTGATGTATTACTGATGCAATGTTACACTATAATTCCAAGTCATCAAATTATTACATAATTAAAAAAACAACAACAAAGTAGCCATCCTGACGATCTTTGGTCATGATCTCTTAAAAGTATAAATGAGTCACAATCTATCACTGACATTAATTTATGTTCTGAATCCCTATAGCAGGTGTCGACATCCCAGAGGCACTGGTGCCAAACATGGGACGGGAATAAAACGCCGAGTTAAAGAACAAATTGGAAAGAAGATATACTTCGTTAAAGGACCAAACCTAATTTGTTTATTAACTGTTATCTATAAACAAACTGCTGACTTTCGCGAGCCCGCAGACTGACTGTGCTACATAACTTCGACACAACGCTATTAAAAGATCGCCGACCCCAGATCTTCAGAAATTAATAATAGGCGTGCGGTTTCAAAAAATCCCTCCGCCGTCGTGATATCTACTTCCAGAGTTCTGGCTGGCTGAAACAGTTGAGTGGGCCTGTATGCATTCATCTGGGTCGTGATGAGGTGAAATTCTCTCTTATTTCTAACTTATATGAAGAGGTGATACGTTTAAATATTCAATGTTTTTCAAAACGACAGTGATGGCACGGTCGTTTTGAAAAGCTAATCAAGTAATGGGGCAACTATCTTCCCTGTTGACACAAGCAGATACCAGGGAGTACTAAAGTGAAACTTATTGACCTTATTTTGTTGGCCAACTCTATACTATCAGTGCCAAACGTGGACACTTACATCCTCCAAAAAAAAAAAAAAAAGTAAAATTGTGACGACAGAGATGAAATGCCTTAGAAGAATTGCAGGAGTTTCAAGGAAAGACATAATACGAAATCACGAAATCAGACGAATGCTAGGAATAAAGTCAGTCTTACGAGTCATAAAAGAACAACAAGTGAAGTGGTTGGGACACCTAACAAAAATGTCCTGGTACTATCTGCCACATCGAGCCACACTAAAACGTTACAACGGGTATAGAGCGAGTGGAAGACCACAGGAAAACACGAAGTGATAGAATTAAGAACAGAAATGAACATCAGTCTTAATAGTGCTCTTGATAGAGCTCATCAACGAATTTTAAATCTGCCCCGACACTTTTCTGAGGTTCAAGGTGGAAGAAGAAGAAGAAGAAGAAGAAGAAGAAGAAGAAGAAGAAGAAGAAGAAGAAGAAGAAGAAGAAGAAGAAGAAGAAGAAGAAGAAGAAGAAGAAGAAGAAGAAGAAGAAGAAGTGATGGCAGTATTACAATTACGTAAATGAAAAAAAAATTTAGGATATTAAAATGTGAATTTTTAGAAAGATCGCACGAACACTCTTTTAATCAAACTAATGAGCGAAAAAATCGGGTGGTAGCAGGTATAGAGTTATCAGTCTTTATCTTCTAGACCAGTTCGCGGCTGATTTGTGCTGGCTATGTTATCATGTGACCTCTTTCAACATCAAAGTGCCTTTTTTCTGGACCAGTAATGTCAAGCCTTTTATAGGTGGCGCCCCATCTCCCCTTGTGTATACGACAAGACACCCCACGCCTCCCCTCCCCGCCAACATAACAAAATATGATTAAAAAGAGGAGGACATACACAAAAGAGTGCTGTTAACAATAACATGGAGAAAAACATGCTCATAATTCAAAGAGTCAAATAATAAAAGAAATAATCACCAACAAGTGGCAATTTAGTGTCCGGATACCAATGTGATAGTTGATAACGCTGTGTCTTGATGATGTCTGATACCAATGTGATAGTTAACACCGTTGTGTCTTGATGATGTCTGATACCAATGTGATAGTTAACACCGTTGTGTCCTGATGACGTCTGATACCAATGTGATAGTTAACACCGTTGTGTCCTGATGACGTCTGATAACAATGTGATAGTTAACATCGTTGTGTCTTGATGATGTCTGATACCAATGTGATAGTTGACACCGTTATGTCTTGATGATGTATGCTATTTATTGGTTTGACGCTGGACAAGGTGCAAACAGAGAGCACTCTCTCCGCATCAAACTGGCAGCGAAGTTTAGTTTCCATTACCGTTGAAAATATTCATTATTCCAAGTGCAAATAAACTTAATCTGAAAATTGCTTGACGCAACAACAACAACAAAAAACTTCACAGGTCTGCTGCTACTACTGATACGACTAAGTCTACTGCTTCTACTTCTGATACAACAACAACAAAAACGACTACTACTGTACTACTACTGTGACTACTACTGCCCTTGTTGCTACTGCTACCACTACTACCATACTACTACTCTCACTACTCCTCCTACTACTGCTGCTACTTCTGCTGCTGCTGCTTCTACTGATAAAACAACAACAAAAACGACTACTGCTATTCTACTACTGCGACTACTACTGCCTTTGCTGCTGCTGCTACTGCTACTACTACTGATTTAAGTACATGTTGACAGTACATTCATTCAAGACTGTTCAGCTGTAATACAAGATCGCTTAGCTGTGACTGTGTATTCTGTCGCCACTTTTTTTTCTGCTTTTATGTCTGAACTGTTAGTTACCTGTTTGTAGCAGTCTTCTTCTGCGTTCACGGACTAGCATACATTATCTATTCCTTCTAGCCCAGTACATCCAACTTCTCTACAAACCTAATAAATCGTCTCTCATGACATGCATGTTTTGGGGCAATGGATCTATTATCTAACACCCCCCCCCCCCCCTGATGTAGCAAAGTGTCGTAATTTTATGTGTTCGTCTTGCTCTTTTCGGGTGGTTAGAGTGATGACTGTACTCAATTTTTGAAGCACCCTGATATGCTGTCTACCCACATCTTTCCTGGTTTTTCTGTGCTGTGAAATACCTCCTATACAGATTACAAGATGGCATGCCAGTTCAAGAAGGATCTTATCCAACCTTCTCTGTAATTCGTGACCCTGTCTCTTTGTGTGTTGTTGGTCCTGCGATATACACATTGTCCTTGTTTAGCACTAATAGAACAAACTGGGGTTGAAGATGCCAATAATCATCAGTTGTTTTGCTGTAATAGGATCATATGACGTCTGAGCAGTGGCAAAAACAGATATATGGTACCATTTGCCTTCTGACTCTAGCCGTAATGGAAATACATACATGCATAAATGCATACATACATACATACATACATACAGACAGACAGACAGACATTCATACATACACACATACATAAATGCAAACCTATAGCTGAGTATGCCACCAGTGTTGTTTATTGCAGAGTGGAACCCTGTTGACGTCACTCAATAATTTAAACTAACCCTCGTTTTGCAGCTGTCGGCTAGACATAAGACAGTGCAATATTTCTTCATTGAAACGTTTCTTTTTTATTGTGAAAGTACCCATTTTGTTAGCTAAAAATGTTCCAATGTACTACACATATCCACAGCTTTTATACACAATCAGAATAATCCAGAACGACTTTGCACTAATGTAGCCCAACAACAACGGAGGTTGCGACCTTTGTACCAGGAATTTTAAGGCTCTCTCGCATTCTGTTGCGAACACGCTTCGTAATGACGAGGTGCCGGGTTCAATCCGAACTGTGGGACTTGCGCCTTGTGCTGGTTTCGACAGTGGTATCGAGAAGCCGACCGTTCAGGATAATCAAAACACCCACTGCAATGTCCTGTAAACGATACGCAACTAACTAACTTGCATTCTTGTTTCTCAGCGAAACATTAAAGGAACTAGTACACTCTGAAGATGCGTTTAATATTAACGTTTGAAACTAATTATTTCTTTTTCTAGTTTGTTTAATTAAAGGATATTGAAATTCATAAGGTTCGTCGAAGGTTGTGAAAACGTTGGACATAGAACCGCTCATTCCTAAATTAGTTATTAAACAAAACTTTCTAGCTTACATAAGTTAGCTCTTGAGGGCTGGCTGGAATGGGGTTGTGGGGAGGGGGGAGGAGATGGAAGGACCGCAACAACACTAACAGAACTGGACCAGTTTTGCTGTGTACAGGACATAAATTGTTAGGTCCATATTGTCAACAACAAATCGAGGCTCTCTTGGATGTGTGGTTAACATCCTGCAGACCAGCATTTTCCCCCATGTATTTACTAGTATCCATGTTAGGCTAGTTTGCTGGTTTGTAAACCCATACTCATCAATCAAGACCTTCAAGCCAGCAAGTAAATATCTAGCCACTATACTGCAGCGGCTCACTGAAACATGAGTATAAAGAAGGTAAAGAAATACATTGGACAGCCAAAAAGAGCAACCAAGAGTTTTTGAAAGAGGCGGGAGCCCGAACAACTAAGCACAGACATCAGAAGGAGACAGACATCATTTTTCGGCCATATTAAGAAAAGAGGAAAAAATTGAACCTGCTGTGGCCACTGGAAAGATCTATGGAAGGAGGGAAAGAGGAAGACAACGAGAGAGAATTCTTGACAGTCTTGTTGCATGGCATGGAGGTTGAGAGCACACGAAATAATACATCTGCAGAAGATCGCAGATTGTGGAGAGGCATAATTACCCACCCTAGTCGGCAAGGCACCTGATGATGATGAAAGAAATGTACCAAATGATGCTTACATATGTCAAATAAAACAATAAAAAAAAAAAACAACTCAGTATGTGCCATGGCTTTCTACACATAGGACAAATAAAGATATCACAAATGCCATTAGAAGGATTCCTCCTGTTGTGTTTATTTGGGTTCTGTAGCAGTGGAGGGCATGCATGGAAATGTGTTTTCATAACACTTGTAGTCATGTAGAGCATATTTTACTGTTCATTTTATTTTAAATTTTATATGCCATTTTTGTTTAGGTGACTGCGTCCGCGTTAAGCGCTGGAGGTCCCGGGAGGTAAGGATTTTTTCACGTG